TTGTTCCTCCCTAGTCTCAGGCTTCATCAGATAAGAACAAAGAAATAATGGCTAACAACATGTTCTCTATTAAGATTGGGTTATGTTGATACAGGGTTATGTCAAAAGGTGTATGTTGAGTGGATTATCAGATGTCACATGATGTTTAATTGATCAATGTAATGTTTCCTTGGATTAATGAGGTCATTGCTACATTGTACTCATGTACAAAATTCCCTATATAAACCAACTGCAAATAAAGAAGCTTGCCATTTTGCGTGAGTAAGCAGATGGTCACCTTTATTTAAAACACAATTTCAATAAGCATGCTTATTCTCCGAGACATCGCTTTTCCGCGAGACCCTTACGGCAACATTCTGTTGCCCGAATAGGGACTTAGGCATAGGCCCTAATGGCAACACTTGAGGGCAAGGCAAGGGGCTCTTCCTTCCCTATGCCCCACTCCAGCCCATTGAGACTGTTCTCGGGAATCTCCATAGGGAGGTAGTCAGGAGGTGACTCAGCTTTGCTTGGCCTGTGTTGTCTCACTGGGGACACAGGAATTAGAAGATTAGAGACAGGTTGGAACATGCCTGGTCCCAGGGGTCACTGTGCTGCTCTGTGCTGCGGTGGCTCTGGCCCCAGCTTATGGGCCCTACCTAGGTAGGCTGTGGGTTAGGACTTTTCTGTTCTTCTCTTATAACTCTGGACAGACTTTTCCTGGGTTGAATTTGACATTCTAGGTGCTGTGACGGGTTCTACCATGGCTGGTGGAGATTTGACCGGTCCTTCTTTTTCCTGCTTTAATTTGGAAAATGCTCCCATGATCCTCCCATTGAGCATGGCCCAGTAGCCTTGGAGGTGCTGACTAGGGTCTGAGCCTCCAGCTCCACCATGTACTGGTTGTGCCTCAGTTTCCCTGTTTGTAAAATGAGGAATATGCTGACTCTGTCCCCACACACCTGCACATATTTTCCTGTCTTTTTTTTTTTCTTTTAGCAGAGTATCACTTTGTCATCCTTGATAGAGTGCTATGGCATCATAGCTCATAGTAACCTCAAAATCTTGGGCTCTGGCTTGTTGCCTGTAGTTCAGTGGTATTAGGGCACTGGCCACATACACTGAAGCTGGCCAGTTTAAACCTGGCCTGGGCCAGCTAAACAACAATGACAACTACTACAAAAAAGTGGCAGGCGCCTGTAGTCCCAGGTACTTGGGAATCTAAGGCAAGAGAATTGCTTAAGCCCAAGAGTTAGAGGTTGCTGTGAACTGTGATGTCACAGCACTCTACCGAGGGCAACATAGTAACAGTCTCAAGGAGAAAAAAAAAAACAAAAATTCTTGGGCCCCGGTGGTACTCTTGCCTCAGCCTTCCAGTTAGCTGGGATTACAGGTGCCCTCCACAACACCTCACTATTTTTAGTACAGATGGGGTCACACTCTTGCTCAGGCTGCTCTAGAACTTGTGAGCTCAAGCAATTCACTTGCCTCAGCCTCCCAGAATTATAGACATGGATTATAGACATGAGCCACTGTGCCCAACCTCGTTTCCCTGTCTTAATAGCATTATAACTGTCACAGCAGAGGTGGGCTTGTTTTGGGGTGGCTTATTTCATGTGAACTTGTGTGGCATCGCTGGGTCCATCTCCTGTCTTCCAGGGCCCCTCACTGTATGTGTCTCATCCCCCAAGGCTTCTGCTGCTGCTGAGCCAAAAGTGTAGGCACTTGTTGGGGGTCTGCCCTGAGGCCATCTTGTGGTATATGCTGTAGGCACAGGGCTGATCGAGCCCAGTGCTGGGGGTGGAGGCTGGCCAGGAGGACCAGGCTAGGAATAGAAGGTTCTTTGTGGATAATATTGCTTTTTCTTTCTTCCCTTGACATTTGTAGTATGGCATAACCCCATTCAGGGGTGACCCACTTGATGTTTCTTTCCCAGCTTCTGTCCCCTCATGGAGAGCCCACTGTTTAAAACACTGGTCCCTTTTGGACCTTCTGGGCACTTGGGGAGGCCCCCGAGGTATAGTGCAGTGTTTACTATTTCTCTGAGCTGGCTGCTGTCATGGAGCAGGCATGGCAGGTGGGCTCCGGGGGCCCCAGGTAGGGTGTGTCTGCCATGGTGTTGCTAGCGTTCCCTCTGGCCCTGTTCCAAAGTCCCTGATCATGTCCCAGTAGCCTTCCCAGGGAAGAAGACTCTCAGGAGTGGCTTTCTGTTAGGTGGGGTCCTTAGGAGGAAGTGGCCTAGACTCAGCAGTAGGGACTGCCTGTCCACAGTAAGGACTATCTCCCTCCACACAGGCCTCCTGATCACATGTCATGTGGCGCGGATCCCTCTGCCTGCTGGATACAGAGAAGAGATTGTGCGGTACCTGCGGTCGGTGCAGCTCCCTGATGGTGGCTGGGGCCTGTGAGTTTGCCTAACCCCGTGTCACTGCATGTCCACGTGTGTGCCTCATGTAGGAGATGGTTGGGTTTCCAGGCAGCTGTAGGCCTGGGATGAGTAGGTGGGAGCTGGGCAGGAGAGTGGCTTAGAGGCTACCTGGTAGTTTCAGCTTCATGCTCTGTATTATAAATAGGATTTGTGGCCAGTTGGGAAACTTTTGAGACCCATACATGAAAACTGTCAGCCCCTCCCACTGAGGCCCAAGAAAGTACCCTTGACTGGTAGAACAGCAGATGCTTAGGGGTAGAAAGGCCCAGCCTGGTGATCTGCCCTCAGGTTAGATGTGGGGTTTAGTCCTGGGAAATGGGCGGGAGGGATAGACAGGTCCTGTCTGATGGTTTGGAGCCTGGTCAGTGTCTTGGGAGGTACATGAGCTCCCACTGGAGAGCGCTGTGGGCCTGCAGTGCTATTGTGTCACCTGGGCATCAGACATGTTAGCTTTCTGGTTTTAACTTCCTGGAGTTTTTTGAGATAGGACCTTGTTTTGTCACCCTGGTAGATGCAATGATGTCAGCCTAGCTCACAGCAACCTCAAACTCCTGGTCTTGAACCATCCTCCTGCCTCACCTCCCAAGTAGCTGGGACTATAGGTGTCCACTACAACACCCAGCTCAGTTTTTCTGTTTTTAGTAGAGACACTCTTCCTCAGGCTGGTCTCAAACTCCTGAGCTCAAGGGATCATCCTGCCTCGGCCTCCCAGAGTGCTAGGATTATAGGCGTGAACCACAGTGACCAACTGCATTCTTACCTTTCTAAGTAAATGTCACTGGAAGGGTTGCTGTGTTTCCTAGAAGTAAGGACAGGTGCCATTTTTCACTGCTCTTCTCCCCTGTAGGCACATTGAGGACAAATCTACTGTGTTTGGGACTGCACTCAACTACGTGTGTCTCAGGATTCTAGGCATTGGGCCCGATGATCCTGACTTGGTCCGAGCCCGGAATATTCTTCACAAGAAAGGTACACCCTGTGCAGCATGTGCTGGGCCAGGGTCCATGTTGACTGTGTGACGAGCTCTTGCACATGGACTCAGAGCTGCACCTGTGGACATAGTGATGTGCACAGAGCAGACGCAGGCAGACACTGCTCAACCTGCCAGCAATTTTTAGAAAGCAAATTAAGACAACCAGATAATTCTCTTTGTTCCCTGAACTGGCAAAGACTTAAAAACAGCAGGTTAATCTGCTGCCAGTGGGAAAAGGCATGTGTGGTGGCTCCCTTCTGAAGTACCTCAGCCATTGGCAGGCAGTGGGCACAGAGCTGGCTGTTTGGGGCCCTGGCCTGGCTACTATCCCCTCGCCTGTGGGCTCTAAAAGTGGTTACGGTCCTGGGGAGGCTTTGAGGCTCCTGCGGCCCCTGTGGCCCCTGTGACCCATGAGGCCCAGAGCAAAGTCCAGTTCTATTTGGGGTCTCTTTGTGACCTGCCAGGCTTGGTGATGCGTCCTGTTATGCGGTCTCATGAGATGCCATGCTCTTCCTCCATGGCCTATCCCTGTGTGGTTAGTTCACTGTTCCAGAGCTGCTATCTGCTTCTCACTGCACTTTTGGGCTCACCCAGAAGGCAGGTGTGGCCATGCTACACCTGTAGCTTCGTGGTCTTTGTTGACTTTTGCTCCCTCAGTTTGGGGCAGGACCATGCTGCTATTGCCTGGACTGGCCAGGTGCTGCTGGAGGTGGCTCTGGACATGGGGCCAGAGTGCAGAGCCCTTTAGGTGTCTGGGCCTGTTGCTGCCTATGCAGGACCCATCTACTGAGTAGGGACACAGATGGGCAGCTGAGGCCAGGGCCCAGGGTGGGGTGGTGCCTGAACAGGCCTCTCACGGCCCTCAACACTCTCCAGCCACTGTGGCACCAAGGGGTCCGCATACCTACTTGGGTGGCCACCTTCATGTGCTCCTTCTCAAGGTGAGGACTGCAGACCCTTTTGCTGGCCTGGACACAACCACTCCTAGGAAAGCTGCTGGTTCTGCCCAGAGTCTGGGGCAGTCCTGAGCTACTCTGCAATCTGCCTCCCAGTTGGGGTTGCAGGATCCCCAGTGGCTGCCATGGTCCCTGTGGGAAGGGCACATAGGTCCACCTCCCAGATAGGGTTGGATGACAGGGCCTGCTCTTCCCCAGGTGGTGCCGTGGCTGTTCCCTCCTGGGGGAAGTTCTGGCTGGCCGTGCTGAATGTCTACAGCTGGGAAGGCCTCAATACACTGTTCCCCGAGATGTGGTATGTGGTGACTGCTGGGTCTCTGCTGCCTTACAAGTGGGGAATGATGACTGCAGGTCATTCTCCTCTGTCACCTGGCAAGGGATGGCCATCCTGTGGGGCCATAGGAAGGCTATGGCTGGGGTCCCTGGCAAGCAGCTGTCAGGTAGGCAGACTACTGAGTGGTCTTGGCATGGGAGGTTTAAGGCACCTATGGAGGTGGAGAAGGGCACCCCAGCTCCTTGCTGGTAGACACCCCAGACATCACCTCACCATGGATGCTTGTGTGTCTTTAAAAGATGAGTGGTTTTTATTAAGAGAACCCAGCAAAATAAGGCACTCAGTCCTTATGATCTGATGTCTGTGACCAGTGTCTTTAATACTGTATGTATTAGATGTATGTATGAACATCTAAGGAAAGCTGTGAATGTCTCCCAGGAAACACTCTTGTGCGTGTAAGTCCCCTCATGTTGCACATCCTGTGAAGCAAGGCCCCAGCCCATGAGTGGGAGGTCAGAGCAGATTGAGGACACCTGTGTTAGGTGACAGTGGGGGTGGGGGAAGGCAGAAGGTGAAGGACCTTCAGGAGAGGACAGTGGGGCCCTGCCCTTGATCCCACAGCTATGTTGGGAGGTGCTGGGCTGGCAGGAGGCAGGGAGTGGTGAGGTTCTTGGGCTGCCTGCAGTGTAAGTCTTGTGGGCATGTCCCGTGACGTGTCTAGACTCCACCTTACCCACATGCAAGGAGCAGGTGGGAGGGCCTGGGAGCGTGTTCGAAAACACACTCCAGAGTGAGTGGAGGAGCCTTGAAGTGGCCAGCTGAGGCCTGGTGCTGGCGATTAGGGTGCAGGGTGGGTGTGCTTGGCATTGCTCAGCTCCCTGTGGCACCCACACAAGGATGGGGGCTTGCATCTAGAAGCTAGAATAGTTGTGCTAACATTTGTAGGGATGGGGACCGAAGACTCAAGCCTTAGTAAAATTCAGCAGATCCACAGTTTTTTGTTTGTTTTTTGAGACAGGGCCTCAACCTGTCGCCCTGGGTAGAGTGCCTCAGCCTCCCAAGTAGCCGGGAGTACAGGCGTCTGCCACAACGCCCGGCTATTTTTTGAATGTAGTTGTCATTGTTGTTTGGCAGGCCTGGGCTGGATTCGAATCTGCCAGCTCTGGTGTATGTATGTAAGTTCAGCCACTTGAGCTACAGGTGCTGAGCCCTGGTCTACAGTTTTTAAAATACATTTTTAAAAATAAACTTCAATTTTAGGATGATTTCTAATATCCAGAAAAGTTGCAAAGATAGCCCAGAGTGTTTTATATTACTAAGACATGTTTATTGCAACTAAGAAACCCACAGAGAACCATAAATGTTCAGGGGTTTGGTGCTTGGCTTTAGAATATGAAATGCTGACCTTACTTCAGAGTTGTCAGCTCCCAGGACAGGTGGTGGCTGTGCTGACTCAAGGGATGGCAGTGTCCTCTAGGTGTTGTGCTGGCAGCAGGGGAAAGTGTGCTACCTGGGTGTGCCCTGACTTGTGCTGTCATTCTAGGCTGTTTCCAGACTGGGCACCTGCACACCCCTCCACACTCTGGTGCCACTGCCGCCAGGTATACCTGCCCATGAGCTACTGCTATGCCCGGCGGCTCCAGGCCCTGGAGGACCCACTGGTTCAGAGTCTCCGCCAGGTACAACCCCATTGGGGAGAAGGTGCATGTGGCCTTGGGTCCCCCTGGAATTCGACCACACATCATGCATCCAGGGCCCTGTGGGGTCTCCACTTTCCTTTGCCCAGGGAACTTGTGCTGTGGGACTGGGAGCAGTTGCCCCACATTTGGAGGGGACCCCCCCCAACCCCCCTCCTCAAGCTGGCCCATGTCTATAGCTGTTTCTGTAGGTCAAGGTGCAGGATGTCACCAGGCTGTGCCCTGGTAGAGGAGGAGGGCAGAGGGAAGAGCCTACATGGGCCCTTGGGGCTGGGCTGGCTTCTCAGATGGTCCTACCTTGACCAGAGTGGCAGGACCTTCATGCTCAGCAGGGTCAGTCCTGGCTGTGCCCTGGGCCCTGAGATCTGGCAGCTGGGGAGGGTGACCTGGCCCAGGGTGTTGGGAGGCACAGCCACCTCACCCAGCATTTTGGACCCTCAGGAGCTGTATGTGGAGGACTTCACCAGCATTGACTGGCCAGCACAAAGGAATAATGTGTCACCTGACGAGCTGTACACGCCTCACAGCTGGCTGCTCCGTGCGCTGTATGGTAGGTGGCTCCCTGGTGGGTAAGGTCAGGGCTGAGCAGCCCTCTGTGGGGCCCACTGGGCTGGACAGACGCTCACAGGAGTCCCTTAAGACTCTGGTGGGGGGTGGTGAGGTTAGGTGGGAGTGCTGGTGCATGGCATCTGCTGACACTCCTCACATCCTTTAGTGCTCCTCAATCTGTATGAGCAACACCATAGCACCCGCCTACGGCAGTGGGCCACCCGGAAGCTGTACGAGCACATCATGGCTGATGACCGCTTCACCAAGAGCATCAGCATTGGCCCGGTCAGTGCCCTTCCCAGTGCCCAGTGGCAACCCCAGGAGAGTAGCCCAGAGGCCAGTCTGAGCAGGGAGTGGGTCTCCTATGGCTCCCCCAGGGGAGGGGCCCTCCAATCTTGCATGTGTAGCAAGTCTCCAGCTTGTCTTGAGTGTGTCTGGGCACCTACTCCAGAGGCTGCTTTCTGAGACCTCTCTGGCCAGCTGGGAGAATATCCCAAACACTGTCACCTGCCCTTCTCTTGGGTTATGGAGATGCCCAGGGTTGGGGTGAGGGGTTAAAGGGCCTTGGGGCCATCATGGTTTCTCTATCTGGTGAGGGGACTCAGTGCTCCTGCCGCGGGCCTGATGGGGGGCAGGTGCGGATGCGTTTTGTGGCTGTAGAGGGGCATGTATCCTGGGTACCTAGGGATTCTCTGACACTCCCACAGGGTTCTGTATCCCTGAGTCATACCCTGGCACTGCCCCCAGTGAGGGGGACACCACCTCAGTTAACCATAGGTCGTAACTGAGCCTGCAGGGTATCCTTTATTTTCCACTCAGCAGAGATGCAGACCTGTGTGGGTGATGGCTCACCCCTACATGGATTGTGGCTGTACCAGACATGTTAGAAACACAGTTGAAATTGGGTCTTGACTTATCATACCTGTAAGGGGAAAGTCAAGGGCTTCTAGAACATTCTGCTCTGAGGAAGCAAGCATCTATTCTACTCTGCTCTTGCCTCTACTTCTGTCCCTGTGCCTCACAGGCCCTATTCTCTGCCAGTGCTATCTCTAAGCACTGGCAGAGAATGCCACATGCCACTGCCTTGGTAGGGAACTGGAGTCTACCCTGGAGGGCTCATCCACCTGGGCCCTTCACATCCTGTGGTGCCATTTCTCCTGCAGATTTCAAAAACCATCAACATGCTGGTGCGCTGGTATGTGGATGGGCCAGCCTCTGCTGCGTTCCAGGAACACGTCTCCAGAATCCCCGATTACCTCTGGTGAGCACAGCTGGGTAGGGCCCGTTGAGGCCTTACAGGAGTCAGCTGTAGGCATGGGGATCCCCCTGCACAGTGGCAGTCATGGGTGGTGCAGGGTCAGTGAGACCTCACAGCCTTAACCCCTAGCGAGTGGGATGCCACGGTGCTACAGTATCTGGGAATGTGCCAGGACCAAGAGGGATATTGGGTTGGGAGCCAGTGAGTACTGTCTTGGAGATGAAAGGCCATCCACTGAGAGATGTCAGCAGAGCTGTCGACAAGGAGCACATGGTACCTGGCTGTGCCCTGGAGGTAGCTCCTGTGGGAGAGGAACCATAGGGCAGTGCCCATAGAGGGAAGCTATGGGTGTGGGACTGGCCTCAGGGGGACAGCCTGGCTGGGGAGCCCTGTTGGGGAAGCTGTCATCCCATCTGCCCAGTGTGGCCCTCATGCCTGGGGCTCAGGCCAGGCAGTGCCAGGCCTTTGAGGTTGGCACTGATGGCCCCTCAGGGAGACCTGTCCCTTTCCCAGGTGTGGGCTCTCAAAGGCTGGTGGGTGTCCAGCTCTCCTCTCTCTGACTTGGCCTTTTTCTGTCCTCACAGGCTGGGTCTCGATGGCATGAAGATGCAGGTAAGGGCTGCATTTCTTCCTTATCTCCTTGTAACTGTTCCTGCCCTTAATTAATTAATTAATTTTTTTATCATTTTGGGTTCATTAAGATTCAAAATAACTCCTTGGCAAGGCAAGTTCTGGCAGCCTATGATGGTGGCTCAGTCTGCCCCTCCAGGCCCTCTTAGTCACCGTGGGGCCTTTGGCTATGTCGTAGGTGTGTGCCACTGGCCTCTGTGGGCACCCACACAGCGTTCTCTGTATGGCACGAGAATCTGCAGTATTCTCATGTGTCCTTTTCCGCAGTGGTCAGGGATCCCCAGACACTGCAGAGACACTTGGTACTATGTTGGGAGGTGGCTCCGGGTGGCTGGGGCCCTCCTTTCTGCAGTCACTTGCAGGCTCCTTTTTCAGGTCTTGGGAGGTCCATGTCTTCACACACTGGGAGTTGCCCTCTGTAGCCACAGGAGGGAGGGACCTGGAAGACAGTGGGAGGGACTGGCCTGGCCTGGGACCTGTACCCACATGTCCCCTCCCATGGACTGGCAGAGCATGGGAAGGACTCATATTGTTGCATCCAGGGACTTTTGCTGGACACTCAGCCACACAGCACATAGTTGGCTTCTTTCTAGACCAGGCGTTCTCAAACTATGGCCCACAGGCCACATGTAGCCCACCTAGGACATTTATCCGGCCTGCCGGGTGTTTTTGCTGCCACTGCCTGTCCTGCTTAGCAGCTGACTCGTCCCGGGGCTCACAGTCCAGCCCTCCAATGGTCTGAGGGACAGTGAATTGGCCCCCTGTTTAAAAAGTTTGAGGACCCCTGTTATAGACCCTTCCTGGGGCCTCTAGCTCATAGGTGAACCCAAGAAGATGCATCATCTCTGGACAGGGATGCCCTGCCAGGATCCTTACCCCTAAAGACTAGTGGGTCCAAGACTACTCTGTGCAGGGGGCCTAGGGCTTGTCAGATTCTTCCAAAGACTATAAAGCAGAGTAGCTCAGAACTGTTGAGAAGGGCCTGTCCCGAGTTCTACCACGAAGCAGCTGCTAACAGCAGTAGCTCCCAGCCTGGACTCTTTTGGGTGGAGGCAGTGACCATTTCTTGAAATTAGTCTACTAACAATAAAACTCAGGAGTAGGCTAGGAATTGAATTGAGAGAATGGACCCAGCTCTGCTGCCTTCCCATGGGCAGGGGTCTAGTGTTGAGTACCTATGAGCCCCCATCAGAGGCCCTTCTCTGCCCGTGATCCCACATTTACATGTGTGGACAGTGGTGTTCTGGGTGTGAGTACAGGGTCCATGGGCCATAGTCAGGCTGAGCCCCCACTCTCTGTTGCTAACACAGTGAGTGTCTCCGGATGCCAGGCAGGTGCCAACTGGGTCTTATTTTCTGCAGAGCCAGACTGTGGGGTCTGTCTGTTGTCTACCCCTGGGTCAGTGTGGAAATGTGGCATGTCCAGAGGTGTCCTGGGGGTGTCACATTTGGGAAGAGCACATGTGGCCTGGCACTGCCCACCCCATGGCAAAAACCTCAGCCGCCAGGGCCTTTGCCTGGAAGGTCCTGGGCACCCTGCAGCCCTGGCTGCCTATACCACCCTTGTATAAAGAGGTTTCCAAAATGTGCAGAGGCTCTGTGCCCGTGGCACAGTGGTTACGTGTGGCTGGTGGGTTCGAGCCCTGCCAAGGCCAGCTAAACAACAATGACAACTGCAAAAGGAAATAGCTGGGTGTTGTGGCGGGTGCCTATAGTCCCAGCTACTTGGGAGGCTGAGGCAAGAGAATCACTTATACCCAAGAGTTGGAGGTTGCTGTGAGCTGTGACACTACAGCACTCTACCAAGGGTGACATAGTGAGACTGTCTCAAAAAAATAAAAAAATGTACAGAGAGAGTAATGAGCCTCGGTAGCAGTGGGGACAGCACGTCTGAGCCACTGAGGGCTTCATTTTCACACAGCTCCTCTGCCATCATCACACTTAAAGTTCAGGATGGTCTGGGCATCCTCTCCATGCATAGTTTGTGGGTAGTTGGTGGACAGTGTTTCTTTCAGGCATAGGCATAGCCCAGTGTCTGTGAGCTGGTGGTCAAGCCTGGAGGCCCCATCCTACCTGGTTTCCCAGGGTGTATGGACTTCTCAAACATCAGCCCCTACACTGGATGTGATGTCTATATACTGCTGCCCCATTCCCAGCCCTTGTCTGTTGAGGTCATTGCCCAGCCCTGTCTGTTACTAGGGCTTGGCCATCAGCCCTGAACTGAGGCCTGTGCCAGCCTTCTCTCCAGCCCTCATTGGCTTATAGGGGCACAGAGGCCTCAGAGCCTGGATTAGATGCTGGCTGGTGGGAATCCCCAGACCCCATACCCAGGCTGCTAGGCACCTGTCAGGTCCCAAAAAGCAGTGGCCAGGAGTGCAGGATGCTGCAGCCCCTATAGTGGCCTGTCCTTTGCATATAGGGCACTAATGGCTCGCAGATCTGGGATACTTCATTCGCCATCCAGGCTCTGCTGGAGGTATGTGGTTTCATCTCCTTCTTTGGCCTCCTGCTGACCTTTCTCTGCACATGAGGATGGGTCCACTTCTAGCATCATGAGATCTGCTTGATCACACACCTGCTGTCCTCCCCGCTGGCCTGGGCTCTGAAGCCACTAGTGATGACACTACAGAGGTGGTGGCCTTGCTAGGCTGCCCTGGGTGTTGAACTGGGTCTGGGGCTTTGAAAGGGCAGGGCTGGAGGCTGAACGAGCAGGTGAGTACCCAAGACTGTGCCAGAGTGGAACTGGGCACAAGGCTCCTCTTCTTAAAACTTAAACTGTATGGCTAGGTGTGGGGGCTCTCACCTGTAGTCTCACCTCTTGGGGAGGGCAAGGCAGGAGGATCCCTTGAAGCCAGGAGTTTGAGACCAGCCCAGGCAACATACTGAGACCTAGTCTCCACTAAAAATAGAAAAACCAGCTGGGCATTTTGGCACCTGTAGTCCTAGCTACTCAGGAGGCTGAGGCAGGAGGATGGCTGCCATAGTGAGCTGTGATGACACCAGGGTACGCCAGTCTGGGGCATAGAGCATCTGGTTTGATTTGGGGCCAGTGGGGGGCACTGCTTGGCTGCCGTGGGAGGGTGTGACTCAGCCTATCCTGCTCCTGCTCTCTCTTCCAGGCAGGTGGGCACCACAGGCCTGAGTTTTTGTCCTGCCTGCAGAAGGCACATGAGTTTCTGCGGCTCTCACAGGTGAGGCCTATGCCTGGGACTCCCAGACAGAAGAGGGGCTGTCAGTGCAGCAGCCCCCTCACCTCTGCCCCCAAGCTTGTGTCCCTGCCTCTCCTCCACACACCTGTCCTCTCTGGGGGTAGCTCTCTAGAGGCCATCAGTGGCCCGTCCCCAGTGGGGGGTGGGTGTTACGGTTTCTGCCATCTGAGTGGCCAAGTCCTATTCACATTGGATTTGCTCTTTGCAGAGGGCTGGGGTATAGTTACAGATCATGTCCCCCAAGCTGTGCAGCCTGCCTAACACCCTCCTCAGCCTGCCCTGGGCACCTTTGGTCAGCAGCAGAGATACTGGCCTGTGGTCTTTCCCTCCTGAGACCTGTCCTTACCTTGGGGCAATGTGCCCACCATCCTGCCAGATCATCAACTCCAGCAGATCCTTCCCTATACCCCAGTCTGACCATTGAGTGTCTCCACACGTGCCTGCTCCCTTGTCTGCCGCTACGGCTGTCTGACACCTGAGTTCCACCTTCCCTGTGTGCACCCTGCCCCAGGCAGCCCTCTAGCCAGTCCCTCTGCCTGGCATGTCTGCCTCCAGCCCTGTCTCCTCTAAAGGTCTCACTGGGCCCAGGCAATCTCTGTGTGGCCGAGGCAGGCATCTGTCTGGGGCAGGAGCAGGGTTGTGTACCCTGTCAAGGTGGGGCCTGCCCCAGGGTAGAGTCTTCTCCTGGCTCCTGCCCAGGACTTGGTCTGAGTTCTGGGGACTTGGGAAGGTAGACTGGACCCTGCCACCCACATAGAATGGACTCCGCCACCCTGTCCTGCTGAGTCAAGAGATGTGACTCAGGAGTGAGGGTTCCCAGAGCTAAGTTTGTTTGGGAGTGGTGTGAGGGTCCTTGGCAGGGACCATGCCCCGTGGAGTGCTGTGCCCCTTCTGCCTGCTGACCTGTGGGGGCTGTGTGGGTTTGTGCTCTTGGATGCCTCGCAGCAGCCATGGTATCTATGGCCACCGCACTGCCAGGCGCCTACACTGCTCATGTGATCCTACCCCATCTACGCAGGGCCCTCCCTGCCATGGTGGTGACAGACCCCTCTGCTTTCCACATGTGCCCCCAATGCTGCCCAGGTCCCAGACAGCCCTCCTGACTACCAGAAGTACTACCGCCAGATGAACAAGGTACTTGGGAGCTGACACTGCCTACCCTGCCCAGCCCTGGGGAGGCTGCTCTGCTTGGCTGAACTTCCTTTCTGGAGGCTCTTCCCTGGGTATCTTTAGACTCCCACCCTGCAAGATGCCCAGAGTGAGAGGACAAGAGGTGCTGAGGCTGTCCAGCAGTCTGCAGTTTAGTTGGGCTCAGACAGATGCCAGTGTGGGCCAGCCAGTGCTACAACCACAGATGTAGGCTATGGCATGAGGCATAACATAGCTGCTGCTGCCTTTCACAGTGAGGTTGTGAGGATGCCTGCATCCCACCTGGTCCCGTAGTGAGGTTAAAGGTGTTATGTTGGGGCTGCAGCCCTGGGGCCCCTGTGCTGGAAGCCAGAGGTCTGACCAGTGTGCTGACTTGGCCACACCTGTACTTTTGCTGTGAATGGCCCCTGCCTCAACCAGAGGCTCTGCAGGGGGAGGCTGCATGTGGCTGTGGGGTGGCCCCGAGGTTACGGCTTCTGCCTTGCAGGGTGGCTTTTCCTTCAGCACACTGGACTGTGGCTGGATTGTCGCAGATTGCACGGCAGAGGCCCTGAAGTCTGTGCTGCTACTGCAGGAGAAGTGTCCCTCTATCACCAAGCACATCCCCCGAGAGCGACTCTGCGATGCTGTGGCTGTGGTGAGGGTCTGGGGCCCCTGCCCCTTCCCCTCCTAGGGTCCTATCTCTGCAAGTGCTGGCCATGTGGCCCCTGAGGTTGCTCTCTGGTCTGGGGGTTGGGACCCTGAGGCTCCCATGGACCTCCCTCAGGGGACTGGTGGATTCTACTGGGTATCCAAGAAAAGGTGAGAGTTTCTGTTCATTTTTTGTGCAAAGTCCTTTAAGCGAGTTGAGTTTCATGCATGTTTTATGGTAGGGCACCTACTGAGTTCTCGCAGTTCGATTTACCCTGGTCAGGTAATGGGGGTGCACCTGCCGCCTTAGTTGCCTAGGAGCCTGAGAGCCTGGCAGGTGGCGTCTGCGCCTGCCCCTGGTGAGAGCTCTCAGCCTGCTCTTTCTTTGGCCATAGCTGCTGAGCATGAGGAACCCTGATGGAGGCTTTGCCACCTATGAGACCAAGCGTGGGGGGCGCTTGCTGGAGCTGCTAAACCCCTCAGAGGTCTTTGGTGAGTGGGCCTGCCTTTCCCCAGTCTGGGCAGTGCTGCAGGATCCAGCACACTGGCAGATCCTTGTGGAACTTCCCTGAGCCCTAGAGCTGTGGGCTGAAGGACAGAGGGTCATCTTGAGAGTTAGTGGGGGATTTGGGTGAGATTTGTACCTAGCTCTCTCGATGTAGTCTGGTAGCTTCTGCTCTGTTCACTGGGATTTGTGTTCTATGGGTACTGGGGGGGGGGGTGCCCCTGCCTCAGGCCATGGGGCTGCTGTGTTCACGTGGCTGCCTTAGTCCTTTGGTGAGGCCTCCTGTGCACCACCTTCCTGGCCTTTGTTTATCTCACTCCATGACCTGCCACTGGGCAGGGTGTTTTCAGGGGGGTGCAGCTCCTTGCTGTGCTCCCCGAATCATGTGTCAGGGCTCCTGCTTGGTCCATGCAATGCAGATGCCAAGCTCTGCCCCTTTGTGCCTGAGCCAGCCATCTGCTCTGGAGGATGGTCCGAGAGGCAGAGTCCAAGCACAGCTGTGTATGCTGTAGCGTTCTTGTTGGCTGTGCCTTGGCTGAGTTGCCAGAGCTCACATGCCCCCTGCTCTTGCTGCATTCTCCCAGGGGACATCATGATTGACTACACATATGTGGAGTGTACCTCGGCTGTGATGCAAGCACTGGGGCACTTCCATAAGCGTTTCCCTGACCACAGGGCTGCAGAGATCAGGTAAGCAGAGCCAGAGTGCCACTTGGCCTAGGTGCCACCAAGTCAGGGACCAAGATTTAGAAGTGTCACTCTCTACAGGGCACTGGTATCTTGTGTCAGAAATAAAACTCAAATGCAGAAGGGCTCAGGTGCTCCTGAGCTTCGTGTCAAACATGTGCTCTGGGGGCTCAGAGTAGCAGTTATGATAGAAAAATAGTTATTAGCTGGGTGCAGTACCTCATGCCTACAATCCTAGCACTCCAGGAAGCTGAGGCAGAAGGATCACTTGAGCTCAGGAGTTTGAGGCTGCAATGAGTTATGATGACGCCAGTGTACTGCAGCCTGGGTGACAGTGAAACCCTGTTTCCTCCCCTCCTCCAAGAAAAGAAACCATCTTTAGTCCTTGATTCTTTTAAGCATAGTTTTAAAATGAGTTTACTTTTGTTTTTATCAATTTTAGTTTGTTATTTTTTTTCATACTGTAGTTTTATTCAGGTTTGATTTTAACATATTTGTCAGGGAGACAGCCTGCTGTTATTTTATTTTTATTTTCTTTTATTAGCTTGAGTACATAGATAAATGACTTTCAGCCTTTTATTTAAATATGCACTCTAGGGTAGAAATAAGTTTTGTTATATCACTTGATTAAAAATATTTTCTGTTTCTGGGCTGTGCCTATGGCTCAGTGGGTAGGGCACTGGCCCCACATACTGAGGGTGGTGGGTTTGAACCCAGTCCTGACCCAACTGCAACAAAAAATAGCCAGATGTTGTGGTGGGTGCCTATAGTCCCAACTACTCAGGAGGCTGATGCAAGAGAATCGCCTAAGCCCAGGAGTTGGAGGTTGCTGTGAGCTGTGATGCCACAGCACTCTTACCTAGGGCAATAAAGTAAGACTGTCTCTAAAAAAAAAAAGGTTTCTGTTTCTATTGTGATTTTTCTGGCCTACAAATTATTTAGGAGTTTGTTGCTTCATTTCCAGAAAATCTGAGGAAGCTGAGGACTTTCTAACTGTGCTTTTGTTGGAGGCCCTGGATGGAGCAGGGCTTTACTGTGTCCTAGAGGCAGGTGGAGCCCTGTGGGGCAGTGTTTTGTGCTCTGTTACCACACAGGCTTGGTGTGTGTCTGGCTATGCTGCTGTGCAGTGTGGTGCGGATAAAACCGTCCTCAGTAGCAATCTCACAGAATCAGCCCCTACTTAATGCACAGAGCGGGGTGGGGGGAACCTGTGACCTTAATGCCACGTGTGGCCTTCTAGTGTGGTCTTTGGACTAAATCCAAATTACACGGGACAAATGTGTTTATTTTCATTTATTTCATTCAAAGAGACAAAATTCTCTTTGTCTTTTATATTGTCATTTTGTTTTTAAAATACCAAAGAATAAAATAAGTTTCATTAAAATAATCCTCCAGACTGTATGGCACAGTTAGAACATTAGTGAACTATAAGGGCTAAACCAATGGCTCCTATGCTTGAGATTTAGTTCTAACCCCACCTCCTCCTGGCTGAGGCGGGGTGGTTGGTGAGAGTTTATGGGGGTCACATTCACCAGCCTGACAACAGTGCAGTGTGTTTCTGTTTGAAGTGGAATTTGTGAATAGCTATGCAGCTCAGCAGTATTTTTTAATTCTTTCTGCTTAATAAAGACCAAGAGAACACTGAAGGAAAGTAACATACTTTTTAATGAGATTGAGAATTACAATATTATTTATTTCTGCCAAAGATAAGATGATTTACCTGCTTTGTGATACTGGAAGATCAGCATTAAAGAAATTCAGTGCTCATCAGCATTGTAGCACCCATAAGGACCACAAATATTTTAAACTAGAGGATGATGTTTGAAAGGTTATATTTCAGAAATTAAAAGATGAAAAGCAAAAAGCAAAAACAATCCTTTCAAACAGGAATAAGACCTAGAAATAATGCCACTAAAGGAACTTATAAAGTAGCTTCTATAATAAGGGAAAGAAGGAAGCCATTCAGTGATGTAGAAATTATGAAAGAATGCATTGTCCAAGTCGTCTGATGCTTAGACCTCAGTAAGGTTCAAAGCACAAGCAACTGGCTCTTTCACGGAGAACCCTAACTGATCAGCAGCGTGGATTAGCCTTCAACTTAACAGAACAACTTCATGCAGTGCTTCAAAAGGAAAATACAGGGTGCCCCTAAAGTCACCATGCATAGGGAAAATGGGAAATTGTAGCTAAATGTACAAAATTTTATAAAATGTTTACAGCATATTCTCTGCACATTGGCCACTTCTTTGTAAAATTTTGTAGTGAACATTTTATAAATAAAGGTACATTTAAATACGGTTTTCCATTTTCCCTCTGTTGACTTTGGGGCAGTTTTGGGGTCCTAAAGGTCATATACGTAGGAAATTAACAAATTCATATTTGAGTGACACTGTGGAGCACTATTCAGACGAGAATTGGCATGTATTTTGTAGCAACATGGAGGTCTGGAGGCTGTTATTGTACATGAATCAAGCCAGAAACAGAAAGCCAAATGCCACATGAATACCACATGTTCTTACCTGTAAGCAGCCGTAGAGAGAGGAATGGTAGCCATTGGAGACTTGGAAGGGGCAAATGGAGGGCTTGGAGGATAAGAAATTCTTTAGTGGGTACGGTGCGCGCTATCTGAGTGACTGTTGCGCTGAAAGCACAGAATTCACCTCTGCACAACATATTCATGTAACAGAACTGAACTTTTACTGCTTATATTTATTTTTAAAAAACAAAAACTAGGAAATAACTTTACATTAGCTTGCTACTTAAACTGCACACTAGCTTTCTTCTCAATTGCGTTTTTTACATGAGGAGAAAACAGACCTCAGGCTGAATGAGTGGGATAGCTCTCTGCCAGAGGGAGAGAAGGAGGCAGGTAGGGAGGTGTAAATGGATCAGAGCATGGCCCTCTCCACACTCAAGAAACAGGGAAGGAGACTTCTGGTTTGAGGCTTGGCTGAGCTGTATGGACCCAGCAGGACCAGGCTGAGAGTTCTGATCAGAACTGAGTGGTTTCAGCCCTTCATTTGTGTTAACAGACCTGGCTAGAACCTGGGCAGGGGCTTCTGCAATAAAACCGGAGCCCTTGCCTTCCTCCCCAGAAGCACTTGTGTTTACACTGAAGGGTGCAAATTGTTTCCTCCAGTTCCTTTTCACAGAACTTTTGTTCATAGTGGCATTGTGTTTTAAGTTTCAAAATCTAATTATCCATTGCTGGTAGGAAAACCATTAACTTTTATGTGTTAACCTTGTGTCCTGTAACCTTAATATAGTCACTTACAGTTCCAGGATGTTGTTCCAGTTGTTGATTCTTTGGCATTTTCTACATAGTCCATCCTGTCATTTGGGAACAGACAGTTTTCCTTCTTCCTTCCCTATCTGTATACTTTTATTTTCTTGTCTTAGTGGATTTGCTATGATTTCCACTGCTGTGTGGGAAAGGAGAGTTGAGAGAACCCATCTTCACCATGTTCCAGATCTTAGTGGGAAACCTAGTTTCTCACCACTAGGTGTCATGTTAGCCACAGATTTTTTTCAGATGTTCTTTATCAAATTGAGGAAATTTCTAACTTTTATTCTTAATTTGCTGACAGTGATTTTATTTTATTATTTTGAGACAGAGTCTCACTTTGTTACTCTGGGTAGAGTGCGGTGGCATCATACCTCACTGTAAGTGATCCTCCTGCCTTAGCCTCCTAAATAGCTGGGACTACAGGTGCCATCACAAAACCTGTAGAAAATAGTTTTTCTATTTTTAGTAGTAATGGGGTCTCACTCTTGCTCAGGTTGGTCTTGAACTCCTGAGCTCAAGGGATCCATCCACCTCTGCCTCTCAGAGTGCTGGGATTACAAGTGTGAGCTACAGCACCTGGTTGAGTTTTTTTTTAACATTGTGTATGAATGTTAGATTTCATTAAATGCTCTTTCTGCACCTATTGATCATATGATTTTTCTTCTTTAGCCTTTTGATGTGCTGAATTGCATTTATAGATTTTCAAATGTTGAACTGGCCTAGCTATACCTGGCATAATTCTCACTTCTTTGTAGTAATTCTTTTTATACATTGTTGGATTTGATTTACTAACATTTTGTTTAGAATTTTTATCTTCACCCTGAGAAATATTGGTCTGTAGTTTTCCTTTCTTATAATATCTTTGGTTTTGGTATTGAGGTAATGCTGGCCTCATAGAGGGGTTAGGAAGTATTCCTCTGCATCTGTCCTCTGGGAGAGATTGTAGACCAGGTATAATTTTCTCCTTAAATGTGTGGCAGAATTCAGCTGGGAACATCTGGGTAGCTCTTCTTTCTGAATTTCTCTGTAGATAGTCAACGACATTTTCTTCTTATCGGCCCTAGACTTATGGTTTTCTAGTATGACCACACTGGCTAAGACCTTCAGTATTCTGCTTAAGAAAAGGGTCACTATGGTGTCTTTGTCAAATTTCCTGATTTTAAAGAGAATAGTTCTAGTATTTCTCCATTAATAATGATATTTGGTGTAGGTTTTCGTTAGTTATCCCTTTTCAGGTTAGTGAAATTATTTTCTCTTCCTAATTTTCTAGGGTGGTTTTCCCTCTGTTGTGAATGGATATTCAATTATAGCAAATGATTTTTCTGTCTCTATTAAGATGATTATGTATTTGTCTTCTTAGTCTTTTTTTTTTTTTTTTTGAGACAGAGCCTAAAACTGTCACCCCGGTAGAGTGCCCTGGCATCACAGCTCACAGCAACCTCCAACTCCAGGCCTTAAGCGATTCTCTTGCCTCAGCCTCCCAAGTTGCTGGGACTACTTGGGAGGCATCCACCACAATGCCCTACTATTTTTTGGTTGTAGTTGTTGTTGTTTGGCTGGCCCGGGCTGGATTCAGACCTGCCAGCTCTGGTGTATGTGGCTGGCACCTTAGTTGCTTGAGCTACAGGTGCCAAGCCTGTCTTCTTTTTTTTTTTTTTTTTTTT